CACATTTAAGTGTATCATGCAGTCGGAGCACCTTGGCACCACAGTGGTTACAGCACATGCTATGTTACTGTTATTTCTCGGGTTCTGATTTCAGCCAGCCCCCTTTTCGAATCCACTTCTATACTTTCATTGATCCAGTAAAGGCCAAAAAAATACATCTTACACAATCACTGAATGTTTGTGTGCATAAAACAGATGAAAATAGACTAAAAGGGTACAAATGTTTCTCCATAGTCATTTTGGGTCATCCTCTGGGGACCACAAACATATACATACAGCATTTTTAATGGTAATCCATCCAATAGTTGTTAAGATATTTCAGTCTGGACTTAAGTGGTGGACCAACCAGCTGCCATCCATGCTGCTAGTGTGGCTAAAAGCATAATAATACATACTGTTTATTAAGGGGTTTTGAGGTGAATGTATGGATGCTTAATTTTTTCAACTGTGGATTCAACTAACAGACTGTTCAACTGTGTTTTACGGAGACATACAGATGTGAAGAGGGAGCAAATGTCTCTCCTTTTCATGCTTGATCTGGTATTACTGGTTGGAACCAAAGATGCAACATGTCCGAATGTTTCAACTCAAGAGAAGATCAGATTGCACTTTAATAAAAAGCAGGTTTCTTGTCATAATGTCACATTATACTGTTGCATGAAAAGTGCTGCTCACTATCAATGTTAAGATGTCAGGAGGAAATATGATACGCACCCCACAAATTACAGTACTACTCCTTCAAGTTGGGTACCACAGTACTTTTCTAGGGCATCATTCTACACAGAACTACACAATATATAACCCCAAAAAGGATGGCATCATGCAGCAATTGTAGCCTCTATCTTATTTATTTAGCAGCACGAGTCCAGCCTGTGTCCATGTCATCTAAGTGCATCTGCTAATGTGAGTCAGCTCATCTTCTGTCCAGGTCACACAGAGAGGCCAGTAAGTGGCCTAATGTGAGGGTGAGATTGTCTGGCACAGCAGAGGTGCTTGTGGGAGCGGAAGAGGTGTGAGTGTGTGCGCAAGTGGGTGGAGGTGGGGGTTATGCGGTGAGTTTTTCCCTCCTTGTGTTGTTTCCATCAGGATCACTGAAGTACTCTCATGGTAACAGTGATGAATGTCCCTGACACCATATCTGAAGAACATATTAATAACATGTGAGAGAAAACAAGAAACATCACTTTGATGTGATAGCAGGTGTATATATGTGAGAAATGAATAAATTTAAGGCACCCTACGCAGTTTTTGACCACTGGTGGTGCTACTGTTTTGAGCAACAAGCAATGCACCGCATGCGTGTAACACAGACTGCATATAGATAATAGACATAGCCACCATGACATCACCCATTGATTTGGGGACTCGGGGTTAGGCATTTTGGCTGTTGTCATGTAGAATTTTTGGAGCATGATGTAACCATGTGTGGACAAGAGGGTGGAGATAACCCTAGGGCTAGCTGCTAGCTTCGTTAGCACAGTGCAGTTACAACTATGGTTTACTGTGATAATACTCATACTAATGCTAATTTTCACAATTAGCACTTTTTCTTGGAGCCAACCTCAAGTGGCCATTTGAAGAACTGCAGTTTGTGGAACTTTGGCATTTTTCAGCACAGAGCTTGGCACTTGGTGTAACATGATACACATTTCTACTAATAACAGACTTTGACCTTGAAAACAGCAATGGACAAGACAATCTTAACTCAAGGTCAACTTAGTCACTTGTTCAGAAGCCTTAGACTGCATGGTCCTCATCAGCAGATAGAGTTTGCTCAGTTGCTGTGGAACTGTCAAGTGCTGCAACAATCCACTATCTTGAGCAACTGAGGACTTTCACAAGGATTTCAAGGCTGAGAATGGACTGTCAAGCTAAACTTTCAAACCTGCAACAATCGATTTTTTGGCGAGGGCCATGGAAACAAGTTGTGAACAAAACACAGGTTAACTATCACTTTTTAAGTAGATAAGGCAAACTTGCAAACAGTTGCTTTTATACACATTCAGCAGACACAGGCCAATGTTAGCACTGATTTGGAGTTGTGTTTATGTCCACCTGGTGAATGCAAGTCCAATATTCACTCTCCTTTTGGCTCCATTTGTGGACTTCACCACCTCCTGAAGGAAATATCTGGCTTTTTAGAAGCTAAATCCTTCATTATGTTCAACAGCTAGTTGTAAACACTGTTTGTTGTTTGGTTCTTGGCAGGTAGAGTGCAGTGGCTTTAACAAAACAATTGTAAAAAACTAAAAAGATAAGCTGAAGATTGCTATAAAGCTGTGCAGAGCTGAAAGGAACTGCACAGTCAACAGAAGACTCACTGAGGGTTCCTTATAACAAGCAACCCATTCTGCAAACTCCATCTGCTGACCACGCTAGACTCTGTATTGTGGTCAAAACCCCATATGATATTCAAAGCATTAATACGCATTAACAAATACTAGCTATAGGCCTGTTTCCACCGCAGGAACTTCCGGGTAATTTTACGGGGCCGGGGCCATTGGTGCATGTCTCCACCGCAAGAACCACCCCCTAAGGACAGAGTTCCGGAACTTTTACAGGGGCTAAAGAAGTCCCTGCCTCGGAGTAGGTACTCAGAATGCCCGAGAAACTCCTGGCTGGGGCTTGGGGATTACTTGGTGCTGATTGGATATACTCAAGGAGGGATGTGACAACAACAGAAAGCAACAAAATAGCCAGCATTTTTAAAACTCAGCAGACGAGGGTTAGCTCGTTCATATAGCTTCCGCCCGTGGCCCGTGAAAAAAATATTTTTTCCAGCGGATATCTTAGTTACAACATGATTGAGCTAGCAAAGCAGTTTTGTGTTGCTATGTGTGGTATTTATTCAGTTATGGGAAATCATGATGTCTAGAAAGCATCAGTAGTGGCTACAGCTGACAGGGACAGCTCACAACAGCATCTGTTAAAAGCCTCCCGATGTCGGATACGACATGAAACTACTCCAGTTAGCTCAATCATGTTGTAACTAAGACATCCGCTGGAGAAAATATTTTTTTCACGGGCCATTTACTGAGTTATTACAGACACTGCTATCGGCTAACAGCTAACAACGTCCCTACGTCGCCCCGGTCAAAATGGTCGCGCAACGATTACGTCACATCCAGAGCTCGTAACTTTACAGGAACCTTCCTCCTACTCCGCTCTCTCAGTGGAGACACGGCAGTTGAGAGAGCCGAGCGAGAGGACGTTCCTGTAGTAGTTCCTAAACCCCAAATAGTACCAGGAACTTCTTCAGTGGAAACGGGCCTTATGTAAAGAGGAATGATGGCATCCTGAGCAGAGAATAAAGTCACCGTCCCTCTTTGTGTGTTACAATCAGCTTCTCTGTTCTTCGTTGTGGTAGCTGTGCTGGGTGCACATGCATGTTGTGCATGTGAGTGTACCCAACTGGCTAACTAATTGCCAGTGCTCTGCATTGCCCACATATAGTGGTCACCACTAATATCAGGACAGCACTGTTGCCATTAGGATTGTTCCTGCTGTTAGCACCATTAGTAGCTAGCTTTGGGCTCAGCTACCTCCATGTTGAAAGCCATCTGCAGAGCACTTCTAAATCACATTTGGGTGGTATCTTTTTTTTTAAACGCCTTCCTAACATTTCACCAGGGTATACAGTATATGATGATATTTGCGTAAATAGATAAATAAACAACCAACAGCCCACTGCCTCCGCACCGGCTGTTCGATAGTCCTGTAACATTATCCCCACCAGTTATCCCACCACTTTCAGTTATCATCTTCTCTCAGCTGCAGTGCACTACATCACCTCAATACAGCATCTCCCTATTTGTTTTTGAAAGTATTGAAAATCATACTTTCTGGATTTTTGAATACCCTGGCACTCCGTAATACTGTGATATCACCCAACCCAAGCCTAACCTGAATCATAAATACGCTCTGAATACTGAATAGAGTTCACATAATACATTAATCTGAAAACACCAAAAAACTCCAATTGGGTTGTTTATCATCACCAGGCACAAGAGAAATCTGATTTGGACATTACTGAAGCAGAGGAGACATACATACTCAAAGACATGAGCACCTTTTTGTTAGTTCACTCATGACGGTTTAAACCAGTGGCCTATTTTCAGAGCTTCTATTTGTGTTACTGTAGATTCTAAGAACAACCAGGTACAAAGGGACAGACCCTGAAGACAGCATAACAGGTTGAAACAGAGGCTGCTGTGTCTCAACTAAACATTGAAGGGAGAAAGAAAGATAAAGGTTGCTGAAGAGACACAGGGAGAGAGAGATACAGAGAGAAAAAGGTGGTAAGGAAATGAGGCGATCCCTGGTTTGCTCACTCAGAACTTACAGTGCAGAAGATATGGGGCTGAATTCAGTTCAAAGCAAAGATAAAATAGGGCAAAATTAGTCACAACAAAAAGGACTACAGAGGCAGTTAAATTGGGAATGGAGTCCACGTAACCCTGAATGAGGGAGAATGGGGGGCTAATAGCTTTTTATTGGCAGCTGGCTCATCAACCCCAGAGCGCTCGCCTAGCAACTACGCACACTGGGCTGCGACAGACGTGGTCACAGTTGTCATAGTGACGAGGCACACGTTAAAGTTTTTACCTCCTCACCCATTTCAGGAGGGAACTGATTTGCAACTTGAGAAAAAACATTTTCCATTTGTAGGTCGCAGCTTATCGTCTATGCCGCTCCTGCATGCCCTCACTTTATTTATAACGCCACTTGACGTACATCAGTACTTAAGCAGTCGGGTGACGGGCCATTTTCCTTTAATTTGATTTCTTTTTTGTACGAACAACTCCTTGGGTAGTGCTTAATGACGAACCTGGTAAAAATAACTTGCTATTGTGATTTATTCGAGCCAATCTCAGCTACAGACCTAAGCAGACATTAAATTCGAATTACACTCTTGTTGACCTCAGATGCAGTCATGAAAGTGACCTCTCCTCCTTTCCAGGAGCACACACACACACACACACACACACACAAACACTTACATGAGTGCCAGGCCTAGGTAGTTGGCAGTGCTGCCCCAGTACATAGGGTTTTCTAGGATGTTGAAGGGGAAACCTGTCACCTTCTCATCCATCAGGATGCCAAAGTAGTCACCTGAAAAAACAAAACAGACACACACACAGTGGGTTAATGCTGTAACACACTGAGATGAGATCTACTTGACAAAAACACTCCATTTCATAACTGAAACCTGATAATTGTCACACTCACTCTTCCTGTTCAGTGATCCAGGAGGCTGGGGCATATCCCAGCATGCACTTGGCTATTAGCAGGGAACATATCTGGGGGTGTAATGGTTCTCAGTTTGTCTCCAGGCATCAACCAGTTTAGGTGGATAGGGATTCAGGGCCAAACCTGGACTGTTTAACACTGTTGCAATGGTTACAACCCCCGTATATCTCATTTTAAACTCTGATTTTGGTCCCCCTGTCATGCAACGCTCACTTTTGGCATGTTTCTGACAAACAGAACTGAGGTCAGACTGAGGAAGCACTGCCAAGGATTATGACTTTGGCACCACACGGCCTTGCTAATGCTACACTGTTTGGCTGCCCCTCCATCACCTGGCTGTTACTGATGCAACCAATGTGACCACATCGAAATGACCTCATGTGAAAACTGGGGAGTGAAAACTTGATCATTGTACAAACATTTGCCGGAAAATGTTAAACCAAAAATTGAATTCTTCTCACTTTCTGTGTGAGGAAATATAAATGCTGATTATGTTATGTATATTTTTCCATTTTTCAAAAGAGAATATTTTTTGGGACTTATTTGTTGAAATGGTGTTTTAGGTCTAATCCTGTGGGTGGGTGTTTCTCATGGCAGTAATTGACCAAAATTTTGAGAGCAAGTATTGCTAAGAGACCAGCTATCTACTTATACTATGCTGCTGACTGGAAAAACATCATAGCATGAATGGATTAAGATGAATGAATAGGATACGGCACCGCCACTCAGCCTTGCTGCCGATTTGTCACAGTGGTTTTTTCCCTCGCAGGTCAACATAATAAGAGACTTGAGCTTGAACTGCAAGCAAAGTCAATTATAACTATTTGTGAAGGCAAGCGGGAGCTGCACAATGCCGACACAAAACAGGAAGCTGGGAATCTTTTTTCTTTTGTACAGGGCAATTTAGTTTCATTTAAATGATGTGACACAATCTCGGCTGGCTACCTTTCTTTATAGTTGTTGGAAGTGATTATTATTAACTTTTTTAATGCCCAACCCAACAGTTGCACCAATCAAATTACAGCACCAACACTATCCGTCGGTACCAAAAATCCATGCTCTCTGAAGAACACTTTGTCAGGAGCTTTGTCACTGCAGGACAATAAAGAGAATTTAAATTTAGTCTTTTATGGAAACTAAAATTTTGATATCATAAGTACAAAATACAAAGTAAGAAAAAGCCTACCAAGGATATGTATACTGATAACTTAGCAATATTAATTTAAATTTCAGTTCAGCAACAGTAGAAGTAATTTCAGAATTGTTCTTTGGTACTGGAGGCTGGTGGTACATTGACAGAAAAATGCGAGGTAGTCTGGAACCTTTTGGTTCAATTTCGACATCAAAGGGGCATTTTCAATGTCTGTAAACCAAAATGCATCTGAATACAACTGGAAAGACCTTCAACCAGTGAGAGTAATGAAACGTCACGTAGCGCTGAACGACGGACAAATGTAGACAGACTACAGCCTACAGAAATGAGCTGTAAAGGTGTAGCATCAAAATGTCTGTTAACGAGTGCAGGAGCCATCTCGGGTGTTTTCAAAAATGTCTCAATGATGCCCTGCTATACTGAGCTAGGTTTATACTGATGCTACGGTGCGTGAACCACAAATGAGCTCATTCTGTATGTTGATTAAAGCATGAAGGCTGTGTGGTTACTTGTGCAGTGGCAGCTTTTACCCAATAAAACATTCTTGGCAGCTGAACCACTGTGGGACTCACTGTAACTTGAGCGCTTACCATTGCTTGCTATGTAATAAGTTCCCCAGGTATTATGTGCACACACAAACAATTGAAATACTTCCATTATGCCTCCCTTGTCCACTTGCATGGACACACACACACACACACACACACACACACAGAGTAGGGAAAACTGACCTGTTGAATTACACATGTGGTGCTGCTGGCCCTGTTTTCTGTCGAATAGAGGCTGTTGATGCCAAGTTATATAACAATTTTCAATATGAATGCTTGTTTAGGTACTGCAGGTGGGGCAGGATATAAAAAAGATTATATAAACAAATGTGTTTGGTTTTGAATCGGAAGCCGGCATAACTGGCCTTCAGAACAATATGCTAACCTCATTTTTGACCTCAAAAGCGACTATCAGCAACCCATTCAAATTCAAAAGCCAAGTGCAGCATTTTTTGTGTGTGTGTTCCTGCGTCACTGTTGTTTCATTGCGGTTATGAAAATGGGCAACCTGGATTTGCTGAAGGGTGGGGATAGCGGTGTGGTCGCCGACGTAGAGGTTAGAGAAGTGGGTCTGTGACCAGTAGGATATGATCGGAGCTTGGATCCTGGACCAGCTAGTCAATGTGTTGACACTGTCTGTGTAATTTGATTATGTTTGGTTCTTTGTTTCTAGCCTTGTGCCATCAGTTTGAATCATCAGGTCACTGTGACTCAAGGGGCTTAATATAGAGCGAATAAGACACATCAAATTACAACACACACCCACAGGCTATATCCTCTATTATGTGTGTTTATGTTTGCGGGTGCTCAGTGAGGATGAATTGGAAAGAAAACACAGAGCAATTAGATTGTGGTGAGAGATAAAGTCATCCCCACATACAGTACACAGGCACATATACACACCCTAATGCCGACCATAAACTGAACACTTTGAAAAGACTTTTCAAATGATTTTAGTCTGACACTGGTGATCTATCTGTGACAATTAATTCATGAGTCAAATAAGTAAACAAATATGCAAAGCTAGATCACCATGTTGGAAACCTTTTGGAAAGGGTTTATCATTTGGGGAGCATGATAAGGCTTAGTGAATTTCCTATGATGTACACATGTGTTTTTCCTATTGTGACATGTCTAAATGCGACCTATTCTCAACAGTTCGTATGATATCTAATAAATTAGTGCCCCAAAATGTCAATGGCATGTTACATATTTAACATCAAGTTACATAGGTTAGGTTTAGCCGAGTAAAGTTATGTTTAGAGAAAGAAACATGGGGATGACGCAACTTAAAATACTTCAAAGTTAACTTGGTGTCAAATGATAACCAATTCTGGTCTCCTTGGGGAAAGTCCTGTGTTTGTTTTACCCATCCACCACCCCAACCTGCCTTCTGACATGGACTTTTGCTCTTTATGCTTCTTTTTTCTTTACTCCCATTAGTGCAATGGTTGCATAATCACAGTCTTCCTGACTACATAGGTTATATATACAATCCTGGCTCATGATCACGTCGGTTATACGCAAATTGTGGTGTATTACTTATTATAGGTATGCATGCGAACAGTACATAAAAAGAGCCCATCGAATGTCTTCCATGAAAAAAGGCCTATTGTCAGACCAGTTCAACTCAGGCCATCCCAGGCCACCTAAATGGATGGTTGCTGCATATATATACATAACATATGTCATCTGACACACTTTTATGTAACAGGGTCTAAAGGTACCCTCTGCCCAACTGACCTGGTTAAGTTTCAGAGCTTGCCAATGTTAATGAAATGGATATAGTTATTATTTTACAATGCTCTGAGCATTCTGATGCAGATTATATAAATAACTACTTGAATCCTGTTGTGAATACTAAAGAGAGACTGCATTCTCATAAATCACTGGATGCATAATATTATCTGCTCTGTGCTGCAAAGTAACGTTTCCCTGTGGGGATGTATTTACTCTTATTATCCTGGCGGCAGCAATTTGTCCTGTCCTCAGTTTTCTGCACTACTGTTATCTGTTTACTGCCGTTCACATGTGCCTGGGAAACTTGTCTATTGACTGACATTGGCCGGGCCTGGTTTCTGGTGTTTCTCATAAATCACATGGTTGTCCCTGACGACCAACTTAGTTAGACAGACTTTAATGTTGCTGCTCCAACTGGTGGAAGAATGAAGCACGCCAGCAGACTCTCTTGTGATTGCTTTGCTCGATCTGCACACAAAGTAGACGCTTGTCCATATAGTCACGCACCCTCCTGCTGCCCCTGCTGCTGCACCTCTGTCGACACAGTTGGTGATTTGTGGACACAAAGATGGACTGAGGGCATTTCGTTGCAGTGATGGACAAAGATGGTGCAGGAGCTGAGACTCTGTCTGGACCTCTGTGATGACTCACTGTAATGACTGACCTAGAAACCAGAGCTTGCCAAATGGTCATAATGGCAATACTGTCACAGTCGTGTTCATCTGAATTGATGCCTGGATGAATTCAGCAGCATAACAACTAAAAACAAACATGTTTGTGTCTGAGACAAATATGAAGATATTCGCATGGACTGTATGGTGAGGACATGAAAGCGTTTGTTTGCATGCATATAAATGAGCCGGGCTCCATAAATTGGCACAAATGTGCCTGAGTCACATGTCTTTCCTATATAAGTGCATTTAAATGTCCTCGTTAGGATTCAGCACTTTGAGCGACAGATCTTACATACTGCTATTCTCTTCTTACCACTATCATCAACAACATCATTCAATCCATGAACCCAGATTTTATTGTTTTTGGTCTAGCCTCCTCCATGACAGCTGCCTCTTGCGTTAGCCTCTGCTGGTCTGCTGCGTCTAATTAGGTCGCCAGATTTGCATGCATTGCATTAGAAATCACCTAACCATGTTTCAAAAACAAAACGCAACGTCCCAACAGAAAAAATGTGTATATATATACAGTCAGGTCCATAATTATTTGGACAATGATACAGTTGTCGTCATTTTGGCTCTGTACACCACCACAATGGGTTTTAAATGAAACAATGAATACGTACTTAAAGTGCAGACTCTCAGCTTTCATTTAAGGCTTTTTTCAAAAATGTAGTATGAACCGTGTAGGAATTACAACCATTTCTTCACACAGTCCCCCGACTTTAAGGGCTCTTAAGTATTTGGACAAACTAACATAATCATCAATTAATCAGTCAGTTTTAATACTTGGTTGCAAATCCTTTACAGTCAATGACTGCCTGAAGTGTTGGACACATAGGCATCATCAGATGCTGGGTTTCTTCCCTGGTGATGCTCTGCCAGCCTTTTACTGCAGCCGTCTGCACTTCCTGCTTGTGTTTTGGGTGTTTTGCCCTCAGTTTTGGCTTCAGCAAGAGAAACGCACGCTCAATTGGATTCAGGTCAGATGATATGACTTGGCCATTGCAGAACATTCCACTTCTTTGCCTTAAAAATGTCTTTGGTTGCTTTTGCAGTATGCTTCAGGTCAATGTCCATCTGCACTGTGAAGCATCGTCCAATAAGTTTTGAAACATTTGGTTGAATCTGAGCAGATAATGGTGCCCCAAACACTTCAGCTTTCATCCTGCTGCTCTTGTCAGCAGTCACATCATCAATAAATACAAGAGAACCAGTTCCACTGGCAGCCATACATGGCCATGACATAACAGTACCTCCACCATGCTTCACTGATGAGGTGGTGTGCTTTGGATCATGAGCAGTTCCTTCCCTTCTTCCTTCTCTTGTCTTCCCATCATTCTGGTAGTTGATCTTTGTTTTATCTGTCCATAGTATGCTGTTCCACAACTGTACAGGCTTTTTAGATCGTTTTTGACAAACTCTAATCTGGCCTTCCATTTTTAAGGCTAACCAATGGTTTGCATCTTGTGATAAACCCTCTGTATTTATTCTAGTGAAGTCTTGTCTTGCTTACAAGAGCAGCAGGATGAAAGCTGAACATATATACATATTAAAAAAAACTTCACTCAACAACAAACAAGGTGCCGGAAATACTGTACCTTCAAATGGAGGCAGCATTGCAGCTAACAGTGGTCTGTGTGGCCACTATATACCAGGGCTCAACAATAAGGATTGCCCTATTGCCCGGGGCAAGTAAAACTCACAGTCGGGCATGTAAACTAACAACTCACTTGCCTCACTTGATCGGGCAAGTTGCTAAAAATAGTAAAAGTTAATAACTAATTGATAAAATAAATGTATTTTAAAACGTGCTCTTCGGCTCTGATGCAGCGGTCTCTCTGCCTGAAGTCACAGGCACAGCTGTGTAACAATGTCCTGCCCACAGCCCCCATTGATATTATTTTGCGCGACGGATGCTTCATATAATAACATAACAATATAATATTTATGGTGTTATGTCATCGTGTCATTTCTGTCTCTACATGGTCACGCGTTAACAATTCTCCTCTGCTCTCTGTATCGTGCACGGCGGAGTTCCGCCACACATACAGGTGAGCACGCTAGAGCGGCTCGAGCCACATTTTCCTGACCAAACCTGACCCCGAGCCCGGCGCAGTTTGTCAGCTGACAAAGTTATTGTTATGGACAGTGTGTAAATAACCAACAGACTGCTGTTACGCACAGACGAGCAGTGTAGCACGGCACTCATGCGGAGCTTGTGTTGCGTTCAGGTGTTGTCACGTAAATAACAACTTCCAACACTTAAATAAGTCATAGCACAAAACAGCAGCATGTCAAGTGACTTTTTACTTTATTATATTCAATAAAATTGTATGTTCCTAAATCTTGAGACACCTCATATGTAAGCTAGACAGACATTTCACCTGCTCATTACTGTGCACACATGTACTGTATGTACTTAGTCCTAAAGAGCCCTTCTGGTGCCAGTAGATACATAGAAACATCCCAGCAGGCTGTGCTTTGCAAGCATACAAAAAAGTTTCACACATGTGAAAATTATTTTTCATGTGTGTGCTTCACCTCCGCTGCTACAACTCCATCCTAGGGGAAACACTGCTGTGTGCGTTTTGTGCAACAGGTGGATGTGGTAGTCTACTGGTAGAGTAGAGAGAGAGCTAAGTAGCGTTGAAGTAGAATAGAGCAGGGCAGAGAGATGGAAGCAAAATATATTAAACCCCTCTCTCCAGCAGAACTGGAGAGAGGGGTGGAAAATAAATAGAGGTGGGCATGGCTCAAGTAGGGCGCAAAATTATAGACGGAGAACGATTGACAAATTTTTCACTTTAAGCCCTGACACTGTCATTTTTGTGTAGGAATTAAGCTACAATACATGACATATGTTGTTTTAATTAATAAATACAGTGTGAATAAAGATTACATAACATAAAAATAACAGCAGTCTTTGTTATTTGATAGCTGCTTAAATTAAACAATGTTTATAGGGCAAGTAAAAACTGACTTCGGGCAAGTAGATCTCTGACCAACTTGCCCGACCGGGCAAGTGAAAAAAAACCTTAGCGTTGAACCCTGTATACATACGTACATATATATGGACACAGAATTCTTTTCACTTATATTGCTATACATCATTATATATTAATTGAATTTCTTTGTCGTCTCCTACGGTCGTATCTCGCTTGAACTGCACAACACTGCCTCCACAATCTCCGGTGGTACTGCTCTGTTTCATCTGTATCCGTCAAGTCAAGTCTTTCATCAATGTTAGTCAAGCAAGTCTCAAGTTTTCAAATATGGGACTCACGTCTGACTCGAGTGAAGTCACGTGACTCAAGATGCCCACCTCTGGTTGCATACTGTATGCCCGCCTATAAGTCCTATACTCCTTTACTTCTCAGGTGGTATTTTTTTCTTTTTACATGGAAATAACAACACAACAATCAGAAAAGCAATCTCTCAACTATACATGATTAAGGGACATTGTTTCAACCTTAATTTTCAAGTTCATTTCTCAGTATCTATTCATTTATTATTAAAAGCGAATGACTGAAATCAATAATTTCTTGTCGGTCAGATGGGGTGGGGGGTCTTTTCATGACTAAATGAGCAACAATGATCCATAAAAAAAAAAAAAAAAAGTTTGAGCACTGTGTGCATTTAGTTTGAATTGAGAGTAATCAAACAACCCACCGACTTATTGGATTTTGACTTAATTATTAAAATATATTAATATATTAAAATATTGGCAAATTCTGATTGGTGCAACAAAGTATGACATCCTTTTTTTTTTTTTTTTACAACTGAGCCCTGTCTCCTTCAAACCAATGAGAAGAGCATAGAGAACAAAATAAAACAGAAGTCTTTTAAGCAAAATCTCAAAAACCTTTTCAACTTTGGACAAAAAGGTGGGTTCATATAGGATCCCATCCCTCTTTTTTAGATGCTGGCTGAGAAAATAGGTTTTCCCTTTTTTTGGAAAAGTACTCAACTGATTTAACGTAGAAGAGAGTTCACAAAAGAAAAATTGAGGCCTGGATATACTGGTTTTAAGTCCAAAGTCCTAAACCTCCCATAATGCAACTCTCCTTCAAGTCTTTCAAACACCACACAGTACTAGTTCCTGTGACTAAAAAAAATACCCTGACATGTAAAATTAGTGGACTGCCTCTTTAATATGTGACACTGTGTTTGATACCCACCTAAGAAGGTTCCAGTGAATCCCAGAGCCAGAAAGCTGCCGACCACCAGCAGAGTGCCCAGCACCATGAGAGCTACGCCAGCGTAGAAAACATCCGTCCTGTCCATCACCTCCCACTTGGCCTGGGCCTTCATTGCCAACGTCATACTGCAGAAAAAACAAATCACAACCACCTTTATTTCACTTTGTGTAACTAGTTTGGAGTAGTAGTGCAAAGGGAAAGGACCACAGTTTGCATAAGACCTTCACTGTGGATTTAAGTGGTAGGAAATGAGTTAGAAAATAACAGTGAGCTGGGGAGAAATGCAGATAAAAGACTGTTGTGATGATCTACTTTCATCAGACTAATTCACTGCTCGTGACCATGAAAGGTGTCATGGTGGAGCTGTACTAAACTACTGTACTGTAAACTTGCAGACCCAGTTTAAAGTTGAAGAAAACCCTAATTGGAATAAAAAACTGTGTTACATCACCTTTTCTTTTAGCAAAACTCAGCAAGTGTTTGAGAACCAAGGACAGTTGAAGTTTTGAAAGTGAAATTCTTTCACTCTTGCTTGATATACAACTTCAGTTGCTCAACAGTTCAAGGTCTCCACTGTTGCATTTTGTGCTTCATAATGTTCCACGTTTGTTCAATGAGAGTCAGGTCTGTTCCCAGTCTAGTCTAGTCGCAGTCAGGGGCATCCCTAAAACAGATATCATCCGGATGGCAGCATATGTTGCTCCAAAACCTGTTTGTACCTTTAAGCCTTCATGGTGCCTGCACATATGTGCAAGTTACCCATGATGCCATGGGCAATAATGCACTCCCATACCATCACAGATGCTGGCTTTTGATCCTTACGCTGGTAAAAGTCTGGATTGTCCTTTTCCGTTGTAGCCCTGAGGACACGACCTCCATCTGCTAAAATAATACGAAATGTGGACTCGTCAGACCACAGCACACTTCTCCCCTTTGTGTTAGTCCATCTTAGATGAGCTTGGACCCAGAGAAGTCAGCGACATTTATGGATGTTGTTAATAAGTGGTTTTCACTTTGCATGGTAGAGTATTAACTTGCATTTGTAGATGCAGTGAAGAACTGTGTTTCCAAAGGTTTCCAAAGTGTTCCTGAGCTCATGCAGTCATATCCTCTGTGCAGGAATGTTAGTTTTTAGCCTTGCCCCTACTTCTCTGAATCTTTTGATGATATTTTGGATTGTGGATGGTGAAATCCCCAAATTCCATGCAGCTGTCTTTCACAAGTAGTGAACCTCATGCTGTCCTTGCTTGTGAACAACTGAACCTTTCGAGGATGTCCCTCTCATACCCACTCATGGTACTATCACCTGTTACAAATTAAGCTGTTTACCTGCTGAATGTTCCTAACAGGTGTTTTTTGAACATCACAAAATTTTCTCAGTCTTTTGTTGCCTCTGTTTAATCTTTTTTTGATACATGTTGCAAGCATCAAATTATCAAATTCATCTTGGATTAACCTCTGACCTTCCTCCTGTTCCACATCTATCGAATCTAACAAGTCACATTAATTGAAGAGGAGCAAGGTGAATACATTTTCACATCTCTGATATCGTGATGTAGAAATGCAAAAAATCAAACCAAAAATGTGCTATTCTTCAGCTATATTTTGGAGATACAAAGTTTTTTTTCCTTCTGTATTGAACTCCACCCCCCGCACCCACTCACTCATGCTAACATGCTAATTAGCACAAAAAGAAAAATACAGCTGAGGGTGATGGGCTGATGAGAACGTCAAATTTTGATCTGATCATGACACTACATTAAGGGGCCACACAAATCATAATAACATGAATGTCTGAACTACATTTGATGGCAATCAATCCATTAGTTGGCAAAACATTTCACTTCAAACCAAAAACGCCAACCCTATGGTTTAGGGTTAATCCTCCGGGGACCATGACTGTACAGAATAGTTACTGAAATATTTCAGTCTGGACAGAAGTGGAGGACAGACCCACTGACAGACTGACACTGCCATCCAAAAAGACATGTCGCTAGCATGGCTAGAAAATTAAGTTATGCCTGGTTCACACTACAGAATATCAGCCCGATTCTAACCCGACGCAGCGACATACGATGTCGACATGGATCGTGAACGACAATGAGTGTCATGCACTGTAATCCATCGTTTTATCTTGTGTAGTGTGTCATAGTAGACGACAATCAATGCCATGTCCGGGACGCCTCATGAGGTTCAAACAGAAAGTCTAGCATGTTTGAGTTTCTTTTTGTCGTTCAAGATTGCGCCCATCACAGCCGTCACTTTGACCAATGGGAACACAGAGCAATCTGCTGCCGTAGACAACTGTACCATAACAACACCTCAGGGTTTTAAATATTTGCTCTAAGGACGTTACCACACAGAGTAAAAAGGGAAAAATGATGGTGTGAAGCAGCAGAGGCACTTTATCAACCTGGTGAGTACTGCCTTAAGCATCAGGCTAGCAAACAATGTCATTTCTTCATAATGGAGACGAGTAAGAAAATTAAAAAATAGTGGCAGGGAGAGACTGCCAGCTTCATGTGAAACAGACAACATAATAAACGGGCTGTTATTTATTATTCCCTCTGTATTTTTATAATTTTACTTTTTATTCGCTCCCATTTACCGTGATAAAGTTAATGCATCACGCTGTCATTTCAAACTTAACACTTCCTGTATCTGTTTCAAATTAAAAGCCCCTTATAACTTCAATTGAGAGATTCCCTGCATTTTCTAAATAGGCTTTTATTGTGAAACATTTGCAGGAACTTGTGGAGGATTCAGTGAATTGTATGTTTGCGTATGGTACTTCAAATGTAGCTCCTGCCATCTGGTGGTACTTTTTACATTACTACAATAACATTTCAGCTGGCACATGAACAGACACAGTGACTGAAATAATAGTAACAGCAATAGAAATATGACAAGAATAACCATCAAACACGCCGTGAAAGACCACCGAGGATGATTGGTGTGGACCACCGTGTATTGTGTCATGTCTGTCGGCCAAGTCACAGCAAGATGTTAGGACTCCACAATCGCTTAATGTGACATAGTGACTGTCAGAACGGACAGAAAAGTTGTGTAGTGTATACCAGGCATTAGCAGGGTGTATAATTCATTCGCTAATGGTCGGTTTGGAAAAATTCATGTCACCTCTGCCCACACAGAAAACGCCTGACATCAACATAATGTCAAAATGAATACTGAAGTGAAAACCAAATGGGAATTAACCCTTGTACTACTGAACATGGACTAGTAGTGCATCAGTTTTGTGAAGATTCAAATTAAAGTTGATTATTAGACCACCACTGATGTGCCATTACTGTGCAAAGACGTTTCATCAGGCTTAAGTGCCATTACTATGTTATCAACTGACTCTGAGATATTATCATATGACTGCATGGAAATACATCCACAGGGGAGTAATCAATGAAGACTAACTGTTCACAAAATGTTCGATAATTCCAGAGAGCAGAGTCACATTTTCATTTCATTCCTGAGGGTCGCCAAGAGAACTGCTTTAATGTATTGCCTTACTCACTGGGTCCACCTGTGGGTTACTTTTACACTTTACAGGCAATGTACACTGCAATTTCTTAATCTGAACTGTGACACCTGAAATTGCAATGAAAAAAACAAACAAGAGGTAAGTCTCAATGCATCAAACTAACCTGGCAGCCCGCAAAACCATCAATCATTGCAGACATGATCAAGCATTTAATTTCTATGTCTCTGTCTTCTCTTCTCAACTCTCCCACAACCTCTTCTAATGCATCAACTCTGTGTGTGTGTGTGTGTGTGTGTGTGTGTGTGTGTGTGTGTGTGTGAGTGTGTGTGTGTGTGTGTGTGTATGCGTGTCTTTAAGTGTGCAGAGAAAGAAACTCCTTATTAGCGAGAGGGCTTTTAACTCCTCCTGACGTCATGCTCAAAGGTAGGCTACGCTACCACTGATGATTTGAGGGTTGTTTGTTGTGCAAGTGTGGTCTTCAAGTGAAAGCCTTTTCATTTTGTATCCACTGTTACCTCACAATATTTGGATGAAGAGTTTATGAAAGGGTGAATATCTGCTGTAAAAGGTGCTCAGTTTGGTTTTAGTGTTGTCTGTATACAAAAGATAGTACTTACAGAGTCCAGACACAGAGAATGGATTTGTATTAATATGTAAAAAGTGATTTAAACTCTGGAGCATTTGCTGAGTGATTCAGCTTTGTTTGGCAGTTTAAAAGAGCACTAATTAAAATATGGTGGTACCGAATAAATGTCTCAACACTGCTTTGGAGTTTGAAAGAGGTGGAAACACACTGCAAAAGCTTGTTCTTTTTTTTTTTACAATATCCTAGCACAGAGGGCAAACTGTGGTCCCCACTTCAAAATGGGATTCTTTACTGGTATAAACACGAGCAAAATATGAGAACATGTCTATAATTCTTGGGTTAGGGTTAGAGTTAATGCCACTATAACTTACCCATAATTATTATCTTCATTAACAATGCTTCAGCTGCCAAGTCACTACATTTATACCTTACTTACTGTAAAATACTCTGAAATAGGATCACAAATAACTGTTTTCACTGTCAATTATTTTCAATCTTCAATAATGTAACATTAATTAAATGTTGGAAAATAGTGAAAAAGTTGACCACTATGTCCATGAGCTCTAGAATTGCTGGTTTTGTGCAACAAAAGTCCAAAAAAACAAAAAGATTTTCAATTTACAATGTGAAAACAGAGAGAAGCTGGCTGATGGCATTCATGTGATCTTCCTCAGATTACTGTGGAAAGTAATTTATAGTACTCATCAGCTCCATCCAGGACTTTGAGGTTTGACATTTTAAGGTCACATAAGCCAGTTGCACAAAGCACCTTAAGTTTGCTTCTGCTTTTGTGGTAGAAGGATATTTTTTGCTTTATACAAAATTTGTGCTGTTTGGAATTTCACTATGTCTGTAAGTTTAAATAATTTTGACTGCAAGAAGAGTGAGTGAGTATGATCCAGATAACCGACATTATGAATGACCCGTATTGCCCTTTTTTGAAGAATAATCAGTGAATTGATTGCCCCAAATCTCTACACAGTAATTGAAGTATGGTAAGACAATGGAACAGTATAGGATACGGAGTGATTTATGATCCAGAACCT